CAGATGGTTCCTGGAGAGACCCTAAGCCCCACGTAAACCCTACAAATCTAAAACATTTTCAGGTGGGTAGTTACCGTTATAGAAGCCTTATAGAAGGTCTATATACCTTACAGAAGCCTGGTAGAAGCCCGGAAAACCCTAAACTCCCCACCTGTAGTTTCCTTTAATACAAAGCCCTGAACTCAAAAGCCTCAGAGAACTCCCAAACCCATGGTTCAGGATCCCTAAACCCTAAAACCCTAAACCCTAAACCCTAATCGGTTTTAGTCTTTAGGGTTTCTAGGGCTTCCGGCTTATGGAGTTGATATAATTTCGGGTTTGGGGGTGCCCAAACCCTGAACCCTAAACCCTAACGCTTTGCGTTTGGGTGTCAGGGCTTGGAGGGGGCTGCTGAAGTTTCAGTAAGAGCATTATGGCAGGAGCTTCTAGAGCCTGCAACCTAAGGAGCTCGGGCTGATCGCCGACGATGAGATCATCAGCATAATATAGGGGCCTTAAGAATTAGAATAGCGTTTTGGGGCCCATTATACGATAGTTATAATAGGGAACCCCTCAAAAACCTATTCTAATTATTAAGGCCCCTATATTAGTCAGCTCCAGCTGGCATGCAGGCGATGAGCGCTCCGGCTGCTCGCAAGAGCAAGTTGTTGTCGTCAGGAACATCACTGCTGGCCTGAAGAAGATGCCAGGGTCAGAGCCCGTTGCCGTTAAACCCGTGCATCCTGCCCGAGCCAAAGGCTGCATCTGTCACGGCACCTTGTGAAGCCATGCAGACCCCTGATTCATAAACCCCTCCATAAATGAATGTTGTAGTCGGGATGACATCAGGGCCCTTAATGCGGGGGCCCTCAGCGAAGTAAACCCACCGAGAACGTTTCTGTAAGGGCCCCGATGCGAGAATCCCGATTGTAACCCTTACTGAGGGAACGGGGTTTACTTATAATCCTCCTACATAAAACACCTAATCAAGCAGAGCCCCAATTCAAAAGCCTACTGCAAAGAACAGCGGTTGTTGTCGTCATACTTCTTTAGTAGCTGAGTAGGTAACCTTTAACCTTTTGGGGGTTCATATTATCCTACGATAATTGAAAAGGTTAACCTTTTTTGGGTTAGGGTACTCAGCCCCTAGGTCATTATAATATATAGCATATTAGTTTATAGCATAATATACCCCCCAAACCCGATTCTAATTGTCAAGGCCCCTAGATTACCTGGGTACTCGGCCCCCTCGGCTTCTCGTTGCCGCCTGAGAACAGGTGAAGCATGGCTTCGTGCTGGGCCGCGGTGGGAGCTGCACGGCTTGACGAAGTTTTACGGTTTAGGGTTTAGGGTTGGTTTGGGCTTGCATTTATTTAAAGCTTCACACATCTCAAACAGCAAGCCCTGAACTCTAGAGCCGTAAGCAATTTGATGTCGATAGGATTGGAAATGACGGTTGTGCATTGGATGTGCTTGAAGCTCTAAGTCTGTCTGGTGACACCTAAAGAAGGGCTTTAGGGCTTCGGGTTCAGGGTTTAGGGGTTTAGGGCTTAGGGCTAGAAGCTCGTAATCACTTGTTCATCGGTTTCTCTGAAATTCCTGCTGGGTCTTCAATAGGGCGGCTATTGTGCTTTGACTATCCAGCTATTGTAGGGTCGGAAAAAATAGTGAGTTGTTTGTTCAAGGTTCCTTATGTCCGTATGTTAAAGTCCCTAAACCCTAAACCCTAACATTATGTTAAAGTCACATCCCGAAGCCGTTTGCTAGGTATCCCGGCCCCTATATAATGCATGGAGCTGTTCAGCTGGCACTCGTCGGGATGCCGGTGAACCATTTGAGGCTTTGGGTTTGTTTTTTTTCAACTTGGGGTTTGGGTTGTTTTTTGCTTTTTTTGGGGTTTGGGGTTTTGGGGTTCTGTGGGTTTTAGGGTTTATGGTTTGGTTTTCAGTACTTACGCTGCTTAGTCGCATCTCGCGCTCGGTGTTTGTCCTGCCTCGGAGCACTCTCTGCCCATGGATGACATCGGAACCTTGTTCAGCGTCTAGGTCTAGGACTTACCGTTATAGAAGCCTTATGGAAGGTCTATATATCTTATAGAAGCCCTATATACCCTAAACTCCCCACCTGCAGTGTCCTTTAACTAGCATTTTGCCCCAATGTCTAGAAGTATGTGTCTTTGAGTTTGCGCTGCAGAACCCACCAAGCTACGATCCTGACCCCCCTCAAATCAAACCTTCAAATCCCAAAACCAACAATCCCTGGACCCCAAGCCTAGGACATTTTTCAGGTGGGTAGTTACCGTTATAGAAGCCTTATAGAACGTCTCTATACCTTACAGAAGCCTTATGGAAGACCTATATACCCTAAACTCCCCACCTGTAGTTTCCTTTAACCAAGCCCTACAGAAAACCCTCCAAACTTTGCACGGCGACCGTGTTCTGTTCCTATCATTGGACGGTTTAGGGTGTAGGGTTTTATTGTTCAGTAGGTGTCCTGCTAGATGAGTTGAGTTTTGTTAGGTTTTCCTTCAAAGGGCTTGAAGGGTTTTGAAGGGACCTTGGCTACAGGGCTTTCGGGGTGTGCTACAGCAGAATTATGTGGGGGCTGACAGGGGATACCCCAAACCCCAAACCCTAAGCCCTAAACCCTAAACCCCCCCCCCCCGATGTCACGCAGTCTTACGCAGCTGCAACGCAGCTGCAACTCTGGGTCGCCAACTCAAGGAAAGTTGGGCCTCCACGTAATCCCCATAGCAAGCCTGCAGCCCTACATGCTCGGTCTAGGAAGGCTTAGGGGTTTTAGGGTTTAGAGTTTAGGGTTTAGGGTTTCGTTAGCATTTGGGGGTGGGGGCTTAGGGCTTCAGGGTTTCGGGTTCAGGGTTGGGGGCAGAGGCTCCCCGAACTGCAAAGCTGCAACTAGGGCCCCTCTATGGCGTGAAGACGGAGCTTCAGGAGGTGCCGACGTCAGGCACCAGCTTTTCATGGGTGGGTAAAGGTAGTATTTGAAGGATTTAGGGGTTAGGGTTTAGGGTTTAGGCTTAGGGGTTTTTCTGCGTTCGAAAGATTTCATAGTGGCTCAGGGTCTTTCGGTGCTTTATGGGTCTTTGCGGGCTTAGGGGCTTAGGGCAGAGCAATCACTCTGTCCAAAAGGCTGCAGCTCGCACCTGCGGTTTAGGGTTTAGGGCTTTTGTAAGCGAATGGGTTGGGGGTGGAAGGCCCTCAAAAACTGATTAGTAAGGACATGTAAACCCCAAACCCCTAAACCCTAAACCCCAAACCAATCCCAAACGGTAGCCCCAGGCCCTGAGCTGTAAGTCCTAAACCCAAACCCCGAACCCTACGCACCTGCCGTGGTGGCAGCTCAGAGATAGAGCTTCCAATAATAATGAGCTTTCCACAAATGATATTGAGACGCCCTCTATAATTCAAGGAGTGTTAGCTCTTCTGGGTTCTTGTTAAGCGGCTTAATTTAAGCTACCATAATAAGGAAACCGTATTATTTACTATAGATTCCAATTATGGTAACTTAAGTAAGCTCCCCTAACAAGAATCCAATCGGAGTTAAGGGAGCCTTGGAAAACCTTCAAGATGCCCTCGATGCCTTGGACAGTTTAAGTTTAGGGCTCCAGGGTTCAGGGGTTCAACGGTTTAGGGTGTAGGGTGTAGGGTTTAGGGTTTTAGGGTTTAGGGTTTAGGGTTTCGGGGCTTAGGCCTTCAAAGTGTTGTCGCAACTCTTTCCTGTTACGGCTTGCCAAGATGCACGAGGCCGTAACTCACATCGTTCGTGATGGTGCCCGACGCCATATGCACGGTGCAACGTGCCGCCTGATATCCGAAGACGCACATGGCAAAGTTGCTCAGGAAAACCCGTGCCACAAGTGACTCAACCCCTCTTCCGGGAGAGGGAAGGCAGTGGCTCGAAGGTCCATCCATGCCGCTTCACGTGCAGTGCTCCGGAGTGCACTGTCGGCTGCCCAGGAAGGGCTACCAGCAGGGTTTGATGGGTTTGTTTTTCCACGGGCTGTCTTGCAACCCTGACACCCTAAGTACAACCATCCTAAACTTTATGGTTTAGGGTGTTATAAACCCCAAATCCTACACCCAAACTCGAAACCTTAATCAAATTAAGAAGCCCCACAAACATCCTGAACTCCCTTGCCTCTGTGTCGACTCCGCCCGGGAAGGTTGGAAAGCTTTTGAGGGGCAAGAGCCCATCCCCGAGATACTGAAGTTCCCTTCCTGGCCGGCTCCTCCGTTCAGGCTTTGGGGCTTCGGGTTTAGACTTTAGTATTTAGGGTTTGGGGCTTGGGGTTTAGAGTTTAGGGTCTAGGGTTTGGGGCTTAGGGTTTAGAGTTTGGGGTTTAGGGTTTGGGGCTTCGGGTTTAGCGTTTAGGGTTTCGGGCTTAGGGTTTGGAGTTTAGGGTTCGGGGTTTCGGGCTTAGGGTTTGGAGTTATTTAGGCTTTGAAGTTTAGGGTTTGGGATTTCGGGCTTAGGCTTGAGAGTTCAGGGTTTGGGTCATAGGGTTCAGGATTTAGGGTTAGTGGTTTAGGGTTTAGGACTTGCTCAGTGCACTCTGAGTCGTTGCTGCAGTGTAGGGTGTAAACCACAAATCAGAAGTCACGGCATCACCAGCAGTGAGTTGCCGAAGCTGCGGACCCCAAGGGCGGATAAACCCTAAACCCTGAAACGCTCAGCTCCCAGAGCTTCTCAGCATTTTGAGCCCTAACTAGAGCCCAGCAGAGTCTCGTTGCTGCCAACCATTGGCTCATACTCTTAGACGGCTCAGCTCTTACTTTCCCTCGTCTTTGGCTGCGATGGCTGGGTCGGTCTCATCCTCGAGGCAGTCAACTCTCCCGAGCCGAGCGGAAACATGTTTCGAGTGCTACGCCCAAGTTCGCAGCCACGGGACTACAGCCATCAAGGAAGGCAAGTTCCGGGTCGAATGCCGCAACTGCGGCTCTTGCTTGTATGCATGTGAAGACCACTATCTGCAAGTGCACTGTTTGCGATGTGGACCTCAGGCCCCTCACTCGCGCGAACAAGCGAGCGAGTATTCTCCCAAAACCACCACCTCAGCAGATGTTTTCTCCGGGCTTATGACACCAGTGCCAGGCCTAGAGAAGCTCGGGCTGCAATGTTTGAGGGTTCAGGTTGCAATGTTCAGGGTCCATTTAAGGGTTCCTTTAGGGGTTTTCAGGATTTAGGCTGCCGAGGTTCAGTTAGAGAACGGCATTTTCTGTTGTCAAGCTCAACACCGGGAATGCGCTCAAACTGCATTACGATTGCTTGGACAGGTCATGGCTGAACGAGCGCTCTTTATCCAAGTACCTGCAGTCAATCATGTTCTGGTGCCACGAGAAGGGGGTCTCCAACTTACAGGAAATCCTGCCCCACCTGGACGAGCTCTCAGACGCGCCTTGCTTCACTGCATGTTTCTAGTCAGGAGATCTCATTCTGAACGCTGAACCCATCCCCGCAGCTGGATAGCAAAGGTTCAGCCCCCCGCCCTCCCAAATGAGAAGCATGTTCATGCCAAGTGGGGCTGTCGTACCTCAGGTTCTAAAGGACGCAGGCGCCCCTGCAATAGCGAGCTATAGTTTGTTGTGTTGGAAAACAGATGTTAGTCGTATATTTCCTCCGTCTGAGTTGGCCTGTATTAAGTGTATAGAGGGCTCCTTAAGAACATTGGTAGCGGTATTGTGGGAGCTTGCATGAGGGGACTAAAACAGCTTCAAATGCCAAGCAAGGACCTGTCCATGAAGACCTTCGAGAAGCAGCGTCTTTTCCAGGGTCCACCACGGCTTGGCTTGATGGGCAGGGTGGATGAAGCAGCTGAAGACGGTGCGTGGTCGGATTACGGGCAAGACACTCCTGAGTATAGTGATGGCCAAGACTACTATGCCTATTCAGATTCGGGCGGCCAGGACTCTCCGTGGGGTTATGAGGTGTCTCCAGAGGATTATTATGATGAAGGATGGGATAGCGGTTGATCGTGGCTGGAGGACTCCTGACTGAACGATCTAAGTCCTGTGCGGTCCTATGATACAGGGATATGACTCTAGGGCTTGCACTACCATGTTTATTGTGGGTTTTTGTTTGGAGACCAGCAATGAAAAGCCTACGACATGTTCGAGACCATGATTACCATTTAACAGTGCCTTCACCCGGAGGAGGCGCCGGCTTTTAATCCCATGTCAAGAGTGTTTGACGCATCCCCACGAGGTGCGGCCCATTTCAAGGTAGTGAATATAAGAGCTGAGGAATGCCTTGAGGAATGCTTTGTGACGTAATTATAACTCGTGCCACTTTAATCCAAGAGCTCCTCTGGCACACCTGCAGACACCGGTAAACCAGAGCACTGGTGATTGGCGGAAGCCCAACGAAGGTATCTCAATCCTTCATCGCCTTAAGCCCTGACGGCACATCAGTATCGAGCATTCCCGATTCATGTTCATAGTGCGTGGGTGATGTAGAGCTTGCATGCGGCAAATTGGGTATGCAAGCTCCTGCTTCAAGCTGCGCGGGACCGCTAGAGTTGGACAACAAACTCACTTCAATCCGATGCTTCCAGCACCTGCATCCCTAGCCCGCGAAGCGGAAATCCTCCGACGCTCGATCAGCGTCGTCCCTATCACCGGATAATTGACGGGCCTAACCTTTCCTAAACCCTAAAGCTGGAGTCGTGAGGTGGTACTTGTGCAGACTATGGCTTTGGAAAACCACAGTCTACAATTAAAGTGTCGTCTACTAGTATATCACGGCGGTGTGCTTTTCGAGGTTGCCATTCTGGCCAGATCTTGCAGGCTTATGGGCTTCGGATTTACCTTGGTTTCCTTTGTAAGAATGCCTAGCGGCAAATAAGATACCCTTGCTCTACGCTCTATGCAGACGAAAGACATAGCCGGAATCAGCGAAACGTTCAACCCTGAACACCAAGCCCGGCAAGACTAAAACAGACACCATGAGCCCTTCTATGTAGAACCGAAGACGGAAGACTTATAGAACCCTCAACTAGTTCCCCAGTAGTGCTCTTGTTGCATTAATTCCCTTCTTAAGGCCAAATGGTAGAAAAACAGGTACCCTTATTAATAAGGCTTAAACCCTAAAGCCGAAGGGGCTACTCAGGAACCGAATCAGGGAAGATTGGTAATGGAACTCTCAAGCGAGCACTTCTTCGAAGGAAGCCTCTGAGGAGCCCCCGTATCGGATCTCGGTAGAGCCCGAGAAACACGCTCTTCACGAGACGACGGTTGATGATAGAAATCCTGCATTACCCATAATAAGGGATATACCATGGTTCCCATAGTTTAGGGCCCTTCAGGTAATGCAGGATGTATATCATCAACAGTAGTAACGGAAGCCCAAGAGAAGCCGGGAAGGAAGTCTCCATGAGGCCCATAAGAGGAATGCTTACGGAACCCTCAAGCCTTCAGACCGTCTGCCCTGAAGCAACAAAACTTGAACTTCAGGGTTTAGGCTTTGGGTTTAGGGTTTAGGGTTTGGGGTTTATGGTTTTGGGTTTAGGGTTTAGGGTTTAGGGTTTGGGTTTCGGGTTTCGGGTTTGGGTTTTGGGGTTTCGGGTTTTGGGGTTTCGGGTTTAGGGTTTGCGGTTTAGGGTTTGGGGTTTGGGGTTTCGGGTTTAGGGTTTGGGGTTTAGGGTTTCGGGTTTCGGGTTTGCGGTTTAGGGTTTGGGGTTTGGGGTTTAGGGACCTGAACCCATAACCCTAAACCCCAAAATCATGGAACCCTAAGCCCTAAACCCTAAACCCTAAACCCCAAAATCATAGAACCCTAAACCCCCACAACATGGAAACCTAAGCCCTTTAAGCCCTCTCCAAGGTCGGACTGCTGTCAGCATGGCGCTTGGCATTTTCTTCAGGCCACCACCGGGGTTGAGGATTTAGGGCTTGAGGGGTTTAGGGTTTAGGGCTTAGGGTTTAGGGTTTAGGAGGTTTTGGGTTTGCTTCCGGGGTTTACATCCAGAGGGGTTTAAGTCTTCAGGTCGTGGGGTTCAGACCGCCTTGACATAAGGGTGATACGCTACCTCATATTCTGGATCCCTGCCTGCTTTGGCCTTGATCCCAAACCCCAAACCCTGCATAGTCCGAGGTCTTTTGCCGCAGCCTAAACCCGAAACTTCTTCAACCCCTGGCCCGCCATAGTATGAGGGACACTGCTTAATCAAGGGGCTAGGAGGCTCGGGCAAGGCCTAACTGACTACGTTCCAAAGAAAGTATACGGCTGCATATCCGAAACAGCCGCCAACAGGACTGAATACCCAAATCCAGTTCTGCTAAAACGCTAGAGCTCTAACAGCCAGCCTCAAGCCTAAACCCTAAACTCCTAAACCCCAAACCCTAAACCCGAAATGCAGCACCCTAAACCCTAAACCCTAAACCCAAAATGCAGCACCCTCGAAGCCTTCAGCCCCTCGCCTGAGATCCGAAATCGCAAACCCTAAAGCATGGGATGTCTTAAGAGGGTTTAGGGTTCAGGGTTTAGGTTTTAGGCTTTAGGCTTTAGGCTTTAGGGTTTAGGGTTTAGGGTTTAGGGTTTAGGGTTTAGGGGTTTAGGGTAAGACATTACAAACTTCACACAACTCTTAGTTTGGAGGTCCGGGAATCGGCAGGATGTACTTGCTGGTATACCGCAAGACCTTTGTTCGACTAAGTGAGGCCACTATATTATTCAGGTTTAGGGTTTAGGGTAGTCTTTCGGAGAGTTTGGGGCAAAGGTTTGCCGAAATGCTTCCAGACTAGGGGGGTTCGGGCTTCGGGGATTTGTGGTTGTCTTGTAGCTTCAAACCCTACGAAACTGCCAAGTAGTAAGTGAGCCCTGATACGGACGGTACCACCAGGTACAACACACCTAAAGGGTTTTTAGGCCCAAGCCACGCGGAAGCCCAACCCTAGATCCCCACCAAACCCCACACCCGAATTCCCAACACATATCTGCGACGCCCCCCTGCAAGCTGCGGCATGAGGGCTCCTTCGCGCAGTCGAGGGATTTGGAATGTGAGTTTGATATAGTGCATGGACACGTCCCGAATGATTAGGTATTAGTGAGTTATTATTAAACTGTCAATTACATATCGTTCAGGCCCCTATGTTTACCGAAGCCCCGGATGTGCAAAACCTGTCCCCACCCGATCCAACAAACCAGGGATTCTAACACTTCCTGGACCTTCGCAAGACAAATGGGGGCTCCCCAATGAGGGATCCCTGACATTGATCTACGAACCTTTGTCATAAGTCAGTCAGGAATTCGTCCGCACCTCTAACGTTTAGGATTTTTGATGTTTGGGTCTTGGACTTTTCGGCTTAAGGTTTAGGGTTTTGGGTTTAAGGTTTAAGGTGTAAAATGGGCATCCGCAGTCATTCTCTGGCACCTTTACCCCAAAGCCGCAACTCATCGCTGAAGGAGGCCGAAAATGCTGCGAAGGCACGTGGCTGGGATTCGAGGGTTCCGCTGCAGACACTCAAAAAATCGTGAACCCTGAACCCTAAACCCTAAACTCTAAACCCCCTAAGCCCTAAACCCTAAACCCTGGAATAGGCCTCAAATCTTGTTGGTAGGGTTCCTATCTATGTTCAGGGGCATTTATTGCCCTATAGCCTATACGGAATATTCCAAAATCACCCTAAACCCCGTGTTTGTGGTTCTTTGCGTTTAGGGATTTAATGATTTGGGAGGCAAGGGGTCTAGAGCTGCAGCGGTCCAGCTTGCAGGATTTAGGGGCTTAGGGGTTTAGGGCCTAGGGTTTAGAGCTTAGGGTTTAGGGTTTAGGGCCTAGGGTTTGGGGTTTAGGGTTCAGGGTTCTAATGCTCTGTGAGGAAAAACTGTATTGTAATGATCACGGCCCCTAGACTATAAACCCCTTACAGTAACCGCCTTAGAAACTCCTTTCTAAAAACGCCCTATACCCTAAACCCTAAACTCTAAACCCCTTACAGTAACCGCCTTCTAAACTCCTTTCTCAAACCCCGGGGGTACCGGACTGCCATGCCAGCGCCGGCCTCTCCAACAAGGAGAAGTTGCCGACACTTGCCCAACCCTAACCCTAAACCCCAAGCCCCAAAGCCCCAAAAACCCAAACCAGAAGCCCTAAACCCTAAGCCCAAAAGCCCTAAACCCCAAACCAGAAGCCCTAAACCCTAAGGCCAAAAGCCCTAAACCCCAAACCAGAAGCCCTAAACCCTAAGGCCAAAAGCCCTAAACCCTAAGCCCAACAGCCCTAACCCCTAAATCCAACGAAATAAACCCTAAGCCCAAAAGCCCTAAACCCTAAACCCTAAGCCCTAAACCCCAAGTCGAGTTGAAACTACGGCTCATGATTAATATCCTGCATTACCCATGATTCCCATAGTTTACTCTAAACCCTAGACCCAAAACAAGGAATCGACCATAATTCCCATAAGTTTAGGGTCCCTAGGGTAATCCGGGACAGGAAACTGAGCATTCTCGGCCTCGGAGGATGTAGATGAACGGCGGGTAGCTGACGGTTTGTTTGTGTTTAGGGTTTAGGGGTTTAGGGTTTAGGATTTAGGGGTTTAGGGTTTAGGATTAAGGAGTTTAGGGTTTAGGGGCTTAGGATTTAGGGTTTAGGGTTTAGGGGTTGAAGTCTTCAAAGGCCCCTAAACCCTGAGCCGGATATCAATCGCGAAGCCCTGAGCCATGGCACTGCACCCTCCAAAGCTTTCAGGGACACATGGAAGCTTTGCTGACCAATCTAGGGGGGCCTTAATAATTAGAGTAGGGTTTTGGGGTATATTATAAAGTAAAAATAATAAAGGTTTTGGGTTCCTGATGTGTTATTATAACCCAAACTAGCACAAACCCTATTCTAATGATTAAGGCCCCTGTATTATCGTCCGAGTTTCTCGCCTTCTACAATCCCTTGCAGGGCGGCCATTGGAAGGTGGTGCACGGGTCTCAGATGCTCCTTCGGTTGCCCCAGCATCGAAATAGCTTGCTAAGTCGATAAACGGGT